CTCCTTGTGGGTTCGACACTCCATATTTATCATTTCCATCTTCGAAAATTGCTATGATGATTCCTTGCACTTGGGGATTATCAATATTCTGCGAAGTAAAAAACAAGCAAAAAATAACAACTGACACTGGGCACTATGTCAATACGTTAGTCCAAAAAAGGATATAGATTTGCTAATAAATGTATATTAAACATCCAAGATTGATAATATAACAACATGGAACAATAAAAAATTTATAGATACGTTGGAAACGTATCAGGGGTTGGCCGGCTCCATGGTAGGGCGGTGGATCCTCGCAGTGGAAGCCGGGGCAGCGGCCCCGGAAAACCGTGCGACAAGGAGGTGCAGTGGTGCGAGTTCTGGCCGGTGTGCGGTGGCTGCCGGCCGGCGCGGAGGTTGGTGGGCGCACTTGTTCTCGCGACGTGGGCGGCGGCAAGGGGGCATACGGCTTCTCCTCTCCATTGTGATGGCCAAAGGTGAAGACTTTACCCTCCCTTCCCAGTTTGCAGCGCTCACGTGACGGACAAGGCCAAGAAGATATGTGCGCTGATGTGGCTGCAGGCAACGGCGACGCCTGTGGGCGATGTCTCTTCCATGGAGGCATTGTTATGGCCTTGTCCATCCCTTGTTCTGCAGTGGGGGAAACCCTATGCTTGGTTCGCCGATCCGGGCAGCGGCGACTGCACGGTGTTGTCCCCTTTTTGAAGGTGTTGCCTGGGTGATTGGAGTGTCTTCTGGGGGAGTAACTGGTGTGGGTGTCTCATTCGCCTCGGCGGCGAGGCTTGGGGTGTCGGGTTGTCTTTTTGTTGGTTGTTGCTATGGGCATGAACATCTGGGGCACTATGTACTCCATCATCGACGCCTCATCTACGGCGTCTTCATCGAGATAGGCTAGCTCTTGTTGTCCACTTGCCGATCTCCTAGGCGCCATGCGTGGACAGTGCGTTGGTCTAGTTTACTTTGGTGTTTTTGTCGTGCTCTGAGGTGTTCGGTGCGGTTGGGACGCGGCCTGTGTGCTCTGTGTCCGTCCTCTTCACCATTGTTTGGCTTGAGTGTGGGCAAAGCGAGTTGTGTGCCGGTGTTGTCTTGGTGGATGTGGGTGTTAACTTCTTGGTGTAGCACTTTGCCGAAAGGCGTTGTATTGGTTATCTTGACTACTTCTTCTATGAATATATGATACGCATGCTTATGCGTGTTCTAGAAAAAATAATATGAATGGGAGGGAGTAGCTGATTTCGTTTCCAAGAATAATGTTACAGATAGTTGACATAGCATGTTTTTTCTTCCAGAAATAATATGTTCAGATTGTCGATTTGCTTAGAAACAATGGTATTGCAATTTTCAGAGAATATTGCGCGTATTGCAATATGTATAGATTGTCGATTTTGGTACAAGCAGGCCTGAAAGTTAACAAAGTATAAGGATTTTGGCACACCGGCATTTTAGATTTCTTATACCGGCAAGAGGGCTTTATCATTTGCGCTACCAAAATTGATTCTGACATCTTGCCATCATGTTTAATCTTGCTCTCCTGGGCTTTATGCATGGAGAGCTCATTTGTGCTTTCTCCGAGGCGTTGGAAAGGTGGCAAGCAATTTGAATCCGAGTCTCTTGCCGCCAGTTTTAGCTATGCCTGGGCCGACTCGGATTCAAATTGCTTGCTACCACTTCTCCGTCTCCCGCGTCCCTGTTTTCTTGCTCGCCGCGTCTCCCAAATTCCCGCGTCCCTGTTCTTTCCCGAATTCCCATGATCGCAACGACGGTGGCCCTGGTCGTTGCGGTCATGGGGCGGGGGTGAGAGAGTGAAGCGGAAGAGGAGGTGGGGAATTAGGGAAGAAACGAAGACTCACTGACAAGCGGGTCCCAAATGTAAGAAATTTTATACAGACTGCGGTTTTACGGAATATGGATCTAGCAGAACTACAAGGTCTCTAAAATTATTTTACAGTGCACTCTAAAGTCATTATACAGAATGGAATTTTACATAACCTGCAAGAGTTGCTCTTACAAGCCTGGAAGGTTGTGTGCATCCTCACCATATTTGTGTATCTATTTGTAATCCAAAAAAAAAAAAGAGTACATCCATACTTACACTGGTAAACATGGAAGGACTAAAGAAGAGTTGGTTCCGGGAAAAATCAGCCATATTGCCTTCCGAGATCTTGTCTGTTGACTTTCAGTTCCTACTATCGTTGTTGGAAGCTCAACTTCTTTAGGCAGAGAGCATACATGAACGCGAAGAACACCGCAAAGAGCACAAGCACCGGTGCAACGACCGCCATGAAGCTCCTGTGGAATCCAAAGTGATGACTTATGTAGAAACTGATTGGCTGGTCTGATTGTCCTGGGACGGAGATGGTCTCTTCCAGGTCTCCATATTGTGTCACTATGAGCCCATAAACTGTCCATGCCAATGGGCAAATCCAGTAGTACCAGATCCACCATTTGGGGATTTTCTGAACAAAGCAAGAGGAAACTAAGTAATTGGTCTTACGAAAGAGAAGGAACTGTAACAATATTCTAATCAAGAAACAGAACTCACCGGTCTCGGGATGAAGAATCCAGAGAAAAGGTTGAAGAGGGAATAAAAAGCTGCGGCGAAGATGGCTGCAACTTCATGGTTTGGTGAGATTGTACAGTCATCATCCCGTAGTAGGTGAAGTAGAGGAAGGAAAAGTAGGAGACGAAGAAGAACCAGAAGAACTTGGCAACTGTCCACTGGAAGCCCATCATCGCGTATATGATGAGGGTGTAATACGAGGCTTGGACGAAGACATAAGGTATCTCCATGACAACCTGAAGCAACACACAAGGCTTGAGATACCTGAAGAAGCCAATGACAATCTTGCTACTTTAGCTTTTCAGTTTTACTATTTTCTTACCTGAGCAATGGCATAGGGCATTGCAGAGTACATCCCAGCAGCCCTCTCTCGGTAGAAAACTGTTCTCTCGATTGAAACAATTGGCTGAACACTTGAACAGTTGTTGATGCCGACGAACATCACTGCTGTATACATTGCTCCAATGACCATTCTAAGAGTATTGGCATCTCCGCTGCATCACAAGGCACCAAAAATTCAGATGCTGATACATTAGGTTTAAGCAATCAAAGATGAAGATAAGTACAATACTTACATATTGGTGCCGATCTTCCAAAATATGGAGCCGAGCAGCAAGGCTGTGAACAAAGTGAAGGAAAATCTGACGAGGTTGTAATCTGGATTGCGCCAATAGGTCAGCCAATGCTTCCAGAGGCAGGCTTTGAACTGCCCAATAATGGATTGAGAATATTCTGTAGGAAAATACAGATCTGATGTTCCTGGTTCTGGTTGACTTAGCCGGTTAACCAATGCCTTGTTTTTCCTAGAAATACAGCCGGGGTATTCCATAAGAATTTTGTTACATCAAGTTGTATGTCGATTATACGCTTTGAGAAAAACATTAGAGGCCCATGCGACAAAGAACATGTTTTGCTTACTTAAACAGATCTGAAGTCTTGTAGTAGTCAGCAAAATCCATGTTTAAGCGTACTTCTGCAGCAACTGAACTGACCTCAAGCATCCATGTTGCAGGATTGTACTTATCTTTGATTTTAGGCACTCCAGGAATTGCCTAGTAGCATTGAACATAAGATTAGAGAAAAAATTTGATTTTTAGTTATTTATATGATATCTCCCACTGAAAAAAGAGATCATCATCGTGTGAAATTATCTGTACCTCAAAGTATTCGACCATTTCCTGTGAGTTGAGACCCAGTTTCCCAGAGTATATCACCTGGCCTCCTCTTTTCAGTAATAGCAACTGCAGAAAAGATCACGAGTTATCGCTTAGATGCTGATAAGTTGAACTACTACTTAAAATTATTTTTCCATGTTCAGTAGTCACCTCATCAAAAGCTTCAAAGATGTCAATGCTTGGCTGGTGGATTGTGCAAACCACAGTCCGTCCAGTGTCAACAGTGTTCCTCACTGTTCTCATAACAATTGCTGCTGCTCTTGCATCAAGACCTGATGTCGGTTCATCCATGAAGATGATCGATGGATTTGCGACAAGCTCCACAGTTATAGTTAACCTCTTTCTTTGCTCTGTTGAAAGCCCTGAAATTCCTGGCAGGCCGACTAAAGCATCCTTCAGATTGTCAAGCTCCACTAGCTCCATAACTTCATCAACAAATTGCTGAAACCATAGAAACATGTAAGATACTTGCTTGATAAAGCAAACGAAAATTTCCAAGTTACATGAACGTTTCTTGACATATTTATCAAATCTCAAACATCTAATTAACTTACAGCAAGATCCAAGAGCTATATACACTGATTATAACAAGCATATGGAACTTTTTATTCAACTCGTTGAAGTAGCAAAATGATTTGATAATTCCAATATAACTTGAGAAACAACTACAGATATAGGCATTCCGAGAGGCAAAAAGACATGACTTACTATCTTGATATCATCAGTGATATCTTGATCTCCGATCTTTTCAGGAAGACGCAAGAAGGCGGAGTATATAAGAGATTCTCTAATCGTGACCTGAGGTGAATGGATATCATTTTGCTCACAATAACCAGAAATCCTTGCAAATGTTGCTTGGTTTTTTGGATAACCAGAAATTCTGACATCTCCTTCAATATAACCACCAGTCTTTCTTCCAGCTAAAACATCCATAAGAGTCGTCTTTCCAGCTCCACTGACTCCCATGAGCGCTGTTAGCACTCCTGGTCTAAATGATCCAGTAACGCCACGTAACAATTGGAGCCTATCATCCGTCACTCTTAGTTTCATTTCCTATATAGATAAAAAAAAGTGCTCAGAAATATTCGAGATTTTAAACTGAGATGGAAGTTAAGATAATAACATGACAACATTGAAGGAAAAGAATTCTGGAAAAAAATGTGCATAGGCGGGCTCACTGCAGGCATGTCGACATAGTAGTTCACATCCTCAAAACACATGGATAGAGGGGAGAATGGAAGAACCATTCCTCTTCTTGGAGAAGATCATTTCTGCCAACGGACTTGACGTGAAATCGCATTTGATGAACTATTGCCCAAACAAGTCATAGGTCTCATCTCACCCATTTCCTCTGAAATAGTTACAGTTTTATTCATCAATTTTAGAATTTTTTTTACTTATTCTGTCACATTTACATATGAGTTCAGTCAGAATTACTTACTATTACTGGAACGATCCTTCGATTTCATCCTGCCATTTCTTCTTGTACTATCATTGCTAACTGCCTCTCTTGGGAGGCCATTGCCTTCTGCTTCCTTTGCAGTTTCTTCAGATATAACAGCTTGTGGTTGGCCCAAGGCTAACAAGCAAAGAGTAAGTGGGTCACATACCGATAAAGAAATTATTATCAGAATTCAGGGGGCACTTAGATTAATGTTCCAACACTTACGATTCAGATACGTGAGGGACATAGTGAAGAGCACATTGAAGAAGATTGTGAAACCTAACAGCCCTGCTGCTCCAATCCAGAACCAGTTTTTGTCAGTAAAGATGTTTGTGCCTTCTAGAATAGCTATACCTAGTCTTTTGGAAACACCATTCTTGTCCTATCAGCATTAACACAGCTTGTTAAAAAAGCATACACCTCAATCAGTGAAAGATCAGTGCTGCAATGAGCTAACCGTTACAAACTTGTCCATCCATCGAGTAGCATAGAATTCATTCACTACTAGAGCATTATATCCATACACCAGCGGTGAAATCCAATAACCCCAGGTCCACCATTTTGGGATGAAGTCTGTTAACAATGGAGAGGGAAGGACTAGTCAGCAAAGCTGCAGCACTGATCTGCAGAAGTCAGTGTGAAGTGAAAATGAACAAGATAAGTAATCGACCTTTTGGCAGAAGAAAGCCTCCAAGGGAAAAGAAGAAGAGAAGGAACAAGGCTCCTCCGGTTTGAGCAATGATCATGGATCTGCACAGTGCAGCAATTGCTCTGAAAAGCCCAGCAGCCATCTGCTGGATCAAGAACACAAGTAGCAACTGCTTGAAAAACCTGCGGACAAAGATTGCAATTTAGGGGTCACAAAAGTGATAGTTCCTGATTCACGTAACAAAGTGTTGTCTACTCGATATGTACCTGTCAGCTTCTGGGGCAAATCCCATAGTGTAGTATGTGACAACCACCCAGACTGTGGTTTCGATAATTGAAAATGGGATTGTGAGAACGACATTCGGTAGTGTGAATATCCAAGCAGGGTAGAAGAGGAGGTCCCGGTGCTTGTAGAAGACAGGCAACCTTGTGATGGTCAAAGAGAGCTCAGCAAAACCATTGAACATGTTCACAACCAGAGTAAAAATCAATGCTCCAATGTAGACAAAACCATCGTCCAAATTCGTTGTGTGCATCTGGGTCCTTAGAAATACCGTTGACGCGATAAGGGCTACAATGATGAGCTTCAGAGTTCACCGAGAAATAATGTCAAGTCCTCTGCATTGTGGATTTTAAGAAGTGGCGATATGGACAGGAAAATCATGCCCACCTGTATGGTCTTGAAGATGTAAAAAAACGAATTGCGCTTTATGAGGAGCCACTCCTTCTCAAAGGATACCTTGAGGAGCTCTTGAGTTGACACCGAGTGCTTGGAGAAGACAAGGGCAGCTTGATGTCTGCGGCTCTTGTCAAATGGCACCGAGAGATGGTTCTCGAGTTGTAGCCCAACATGATACCTCTTAAACCTCTGGGCAAATTCCGAGACTGAAATATATCGGTACGGCCTCTGCCTGTCAGCCCAGTACTGCTCCTGATCCTTCTTTGATGTGACCTGAGAATTAGACAGATACAACGCTTTCATTTATATCATAACGTGGAACATTCATCCCTTCAAAAATAATAATTGACATGGAATTTTCAGGAACGTAGTAATAACTAGGCTACTGCTTGACGATACCTCCTGAAGAAAGTCTGCGGTGCCCTTGCGCTCTGGGCAGTGAAAGCCACATGACTCAAAGAATTCAAGGACATAATCACGGGGTCCCTGATAAACAATCTGGCCTTCTGACAGGAGGATGATATCATCAAATAGTTCAAAGGTCTCAGGGGCTGGCTGGAGGAGGGACATGAGGATGGTGGCCTCGCCCAAGTGCACAATCTGCTGCAGACATTTGACAATCTGGAAGGTGGTGGAGCTGTCCAACCCAGTTGATATCTCATCCATGAATAGCACCTTTGTCGGACCGACAATCATTTCTCCTGCAAATGCAAATGAGCGAAATTATTTCAAAAACATGCATCCTGGCAATGTTCCGAAATTCTTCTAATTCATCAATCAGTTATTATTACTCTATCACTATAATAATAATAATAATAATAATAATAATAATAATAATAATAATAATAATAATAATAATAATAATAATAATAATAATTGTAATTGTAATTAATATTACTATTTTCAAGAAACCTGGCAGAAGCTCTAGCTTTTTAATTAAGAAATTAATACAGTTTGATAACAAGCAATCTCATGATGACACCAACAATTGACCCCTCAATACAAAATCCGCATCAAATGATTTGAAATTGTTGCTTTCGCATTGGTATACATTTCTAAGGTAATAAAAAAAATCTGCTTTCCGGATTGTACTTTTGGCTTCAATATGTGGAATGTATTTTCTTTTCTTGGAAAATTGGTAGAAGCAATGCCCTTCCATAAAGAAGAAACATAACATGCAATGTGAAAACAAAATATGTAATGGGTCTGTCTTGTTTCTAGAAAAGCAGAACATACCAGAAAACTCGTCATGCAAGAATGATCAGTTAACAAGTGGAAACATACGTAAACTGCAACCTGCCCGTAATGTTAAATCACCATGAACATTTTCGGCCATATGTTATTCCCTGCACTTCTGGTCAGTTAGTTTTAGTAACTCAGTAAATTGTCATCACATAGTAATTCTATGGCATAGGATGCTGCTAAAGCCTAAAAGAACAGGCAAGAAACTCTAGCATGTCAGTGTTGCAATTAGTTGATTTAGAAGTTGGATCGTGGCGGTCATTCGTACGCCTGAAGAAACCGTATGGTCACCTAAAACAAATAGTCTAGAAAGACCAACATGTTTAGCAAACTCCTTTCAGGAGGGACTTCTAATTTCCGCCTAGATCCATATTGACGTCCATTCGCGCTTCTCTCCCCTTACTGGCCTCTAAAAGGAAAGAAACCAATGCTGGAAGCAGCAGCTCAACCTTCTTCAGTTATTTTGCATGCGCATGTGACAAATGATGAAATAAGCATGACACGATGATGAGATTACCGGTGGTGACACGCTTCTTCTGGCCACCAGATATGCCCCTCTGCATCTGGTCACCGACGATGGTGTCCGCGCATATGTCCAACCCCAATATCTGCTCCCAGCAAAAAAAACAAATTCAGTAAAAAAAACATTTCGTTGTCACGTCCAGGTCCATCGCTGTCAAGGTAATCACGGTAAATTTTCAATTCTTTAAAGTCATTAGTCAACCCGCGTCAAACCAGGGTTCATGGCTTGAAAGCAACCGTTACCTGGCATGCAGGAAAAGCAGTGGTTTTGGCTGGGCATAAACGCAAACAGGCCATGGGCATGTCATGATCTCAGTCGCAGGCGCTCTGTGCTGATCCGGCCATGCCATTGGCAATTTGGCATCATCAGGACTAGTGGGCGGTAACTTGCATTGCCTTCGAAGGGAGCTCGTTTCGCCAGAGGTTTCTCAGTGCCGCGCCGGCACCCCGCGACGAGGCCGCCGGCGGGCTTCGATCTTCGGCCACGGGCCTCGTGGTGCCTCGACCTCGAGCGTGGTCCGGCGTTCCATACGCGCGTATCCAGCTCTGGGAGTGCCGTGGTGATCGACGCATGGTGGTGTGGCATTGGTGACCTGGTGGCGATAGCAATGCGCTGGCTAGTGCAGCAAGCCGGGGCGGCGGCCCCGGGACGCGGCGGCGTTCTTCGACCCTGTGTGTTTCAGCTTCACGCAACAAGATTCTGAAACAAACAGCTATCCCCTCCGTCCCACGATGTAATAGCATCTATGGGAGATCCCGCAAACCGGGCCATCGGTTAAAATAACCGTCAGTTTGCGGGGTTCATCCCATATCCCGGCCCGAGCAGATCAGCCAAATCGGGTTGTCCCGGAATTTTTATGTGGGACTCGCATCCGCGAGCCTATTTTCTTCATATGTGCGGGAATCCACCTGATTTTGTGGGCACCCCTTTCGGTTGGCACGAACCATTTCCACCCACTTCCGTTTCCCGCTTCCACTCTCCGTTGTTGCCGCCGCAAATACCCGCCCCTTGGTGCTGCCTTTGGCTGCCCTCGCCCGAAAGCTCCGCTGCCCCGCGCCGCATTCACTCAACCAACTTTCGGCAGCGGGGGTGACCAATTGCGCCCGCGGCTCGCCGTCAGCGCCGGCGCCATGAATCCGCTCGGGAGCTCAGTGCACGGGCTCGTTCCATGCGGA